TTGAACAAGCCTGAAGCTGTTGGCCAGAGCTCCTTGCCCCAAGGCTTTTGTTGGTACTCTTCCCGTTTTGATGACACACACCTCGTGACAACACACACCTCATAGGGAGGAGCTAAGCCTAAAATTCCTGTAATTTTCCACTGTGCTGTAAGTCGGTATTTAAGCCTGTTCTTTCCCTTCAATAAATGGCATTTGGCGTTCCGACATTGCCATTGAGTGAATGACCCGCTGTCTTGTCTTTATTTCAATCTCTAGGCCTCGCCCATTCGTGGAACAGATGGTAAGGAGGGCGCTACACCTGATGTTACCTTTTAGCTGCAGGAAGCTCTGTTAAAGTCTCTGCTGCTTGTTTTTATAGGTAGATCGGTCACTTCTGGAGTCAGGACATCAGTCTGAACATGGACTCTCCAGACTGGAAGACCATGGCTACACCTTAACCACTGGCTTTCAGAATATTTCACAATGACCACAAATATGAAATATTTGTGAAAATAATGCAGAAAATGCATGCGCACAGCTAACAACATAAATGTCTAAAATATGCTATAACATGTTCTGTTTTATTCCGTTCCTACCAGGCTGGGATGTCCAGTAGAATAACACTACTTTAGCCAAGCATTGTTGGGCATATCTTTGTAATCATGGCGTTTTGGAGGCTGCATACATGAGACTCTGGTCTCAAACCACTAAAACCAACTAAAGAAACCAGATTACTTTAAGATTTTACTTTGAAGTAAACAAATTGAAGTCCCCAAATATAGACATATATTCATAATTATGTGTGACAAATGTTCAAGGCCAGATCTCCCTCACCTTTTGACACTGGATGATTCAGCAATCAGACCTCTCTCTCTCTCTCTCTCTCTACTACCTCAGTCATTACTTTCATGATCTGACCTGACCCAATCTCCTAGCTTTAAAAACACATATATTAAAGATGCAAATTTATAACTTCATCTTCCCACAAGCTGTTAGCAAAGCCACAAAAATGATTCCGAGCAGCAGGACTAAGGAATTCTGACTCGAATTTGTCTATCAACAACATTTGACTCAGCTGGTAATTTCCCAGCCTGAAGACTCTCAGAACTGTGATTTGCCCTCTCAACTCCATTACTTCATTCTGCTTTTCTCTCTTAGAAAAAACAAGTTTCATTCTTTTAAATCTTTCCGTCACACCATGTTTGAGGGCCTAACATTTAAAAAAGTACTAAACAAATTAAAATAAAATCACTATATTAACTATCCAAACAATTTAAGTCAAATGAGAATGAAATGAACTACTTAAAATGCATATACTAAAAAGTTAATAAGAAATAGCTAGCCAGCATCCAATACAATGTAAATTAAAACCAGGAATTAAAATGCCTGTTAAAATCAATACCTTGTACTTTTGTAGCAAAAGCAGCACAAAAATGCATGGGATTCATATTGGAATTTTTAAAAGGCAGATTTATTTATTTTTTGTCAACTATGAAAAACTCCACACATGATTTTTAAAATAGTAAAATAAAGTAGAATTTCAGAAATTGGAAATTTAGCTAGATACATGAAAACAATATGCTGTAATGAGTAAGGTTTTTTCTGCCCGCCGCTGGTCTTGTCCCGCCGTGCCAGCCCCAATTAACACACTGAGACTGTATTAGATATAATTCTGTTGGCCCGTTACTTGTTTCTTATCGGCTAGCTCTGTCTTAAGTATTAACCCATTTCTGTTAATCTAATATTTCCATGTGGTCTTCTTACAGGGGAAAGGGGCCAGTGTCTTATCTCCCCAGCCTCTCCATCTTGACTCCTCCTTACTACTTCCTCTTTCTTCCTTGTCTCCTAGTCCCTCCTATCTTCCTTTCCTATTGGCCAACAGTGCTTTATTCATTAACCAGTATGAGAAATATATATACATAATGGCATCTTCTATCATCTCCTCTTTTCTGTCTAAATAAAAGAAGGGTTTTAACCTTAACATAGCAAAATATATCACACAACAATTATCAAGTAAGAATCACAGTTAACAATATTTAGTTCATCTCCCATCATCTCCTCTTTTCTGTCTAAATAAAAAGAAGGGTTTTAACCTTAACATAGCAAAATATATCACACAACAGTTATCAAATAAGAATCACAGTTAACAATATTTAGTCCATTAACATTTAGCAAGATTTGAAGAAAATATTCCATCATCTATTCTATCTTTGTGTCTAAAGTCTAAGTAACTTGTCTTTAATACTAAGGAAAACTATAACCATAACTATCTGTCTTCAACTCCCTCAAAGACCACAGAAGGATAGTATATAAACTCTAGAAATGACAGATACAACTCACTGCCTGGCAAGTCACTGGAAGTTCTGTAATCTTCCATCTTCAGCCCATAGGCTATAGTGTCTAGCAGACTCTTCATCAAAGTAGGAAACTTTAAACTGTCTTCTTGTATTGGCAGTTTGTCAGTCATTTTTTTCTGTGTCCTGCATATTGATCTCCTATCAATATGCTTCTTGCCTCTTAGCAATAAGAGGTAACAAAAGGCCATGAGAAATGTTGCAGTCACAGTAGAGATAAGCCTATAAATAGGAATAAAAAATTTAAATTGTACCTAGTTTATATGGACAGAACAGTAGATTGAAAAATAGACCCTAGATCCTTTTATGTAAAAAGTTTAGAAATAAAAGAATGTATGCTAACCCAGTGAAGGGAAAAGATGGATTATTTAATAAATGGTTTTGGAATAGCTAACTAAAACAACATTAAATATATTGTTTATGGATTAGAAACTAATTTTACTTTTTCTTTTTCTTTCTTTTTTTTTCTTTTCTTACTTTTTTTTTTTTTTTGGAGGGGAGGGGGACAGTACTGGGAATTAAACCCAGGATCTCACACAAGCTAAGCTTTTTTTTTCCCCAGCCCTCCCTCCTTTCACTTTTCTACTTTGAGGTAGGATCTTGCTAATTTGCTCACGATGGTCTCAAAAACCTCACTCTGTTGCCCAGGCAGTACAAGGATTTGGAATCATCTTGCCTCAGCCTCTTAAATAGATGTGTGCACCAGCAGATCCACCCAGACGAACCTAAAAATGCTGTAAAAAGCAACATTCTTAAAAATCTAAGAAATTACAATAATTCAGGTACTGGGGTATAATTTCTTAATCAAAAGCCGAAACCCAGAAGCCATTAAAGACATATGCATATTTAACACATTAAAACATATAACATCAAAACATTAAATTCAATATGAAAATTTTCAAAAAAAATGCCACACTGAAAATAAAGGAAAAAAAAAAAAATCAAAGAACACTGTGCAATGCTAATGGTGAAGAAAAATCATTTTTACACTATATTAAAAAATATAATAGATGCAAAAGGAGAGATGGCTCAGTAGTTAAGAACACTTGTTCTTCTACAGAACAACCCCTAAGTGGTTTGTTCCCCACACTCACATAGTGGTTCATAATCATCTGTAACTTCACTCCCAGGGCATTTAAAGTGCACATACATACATGTGGAGAGGTCACTTAACACAAAAATAAACATACATCTAAAACCAACCAACCAACCAACCAACAAATCCATAATGGAACAAGAGAGACCACTCTGGAAAAAAAAAAAATGAGCAAGAAACACAAGCAAGCAATTCCCAGATGGAATATTAAAATAACAAACATAAAATAGATGCTAGTGAGCAAGATAATTTGAAATTATTCATAACTAAATTATTCTAAATTAACTGAAATTATTCTAAATCCTTTAGACTGCAGAAATTGATGAGCCCACTCTGAGGAAGGGAAGTTGAAATGTTCTTTTACTAAAAATGTAAAATATACATTGTAATTAGCAGTATGGAATCCTATTTGTTACATCATGTTCAGTTTAGTGCCTAACAACAGATTAACAAATGAATAAATAAGAATACTTCATGTGGAAGGCTTTTTTGGTTAAAAACAAAACAAAACAAACACACTCAACCAAATCCTCCCTGAGCTTGTTTTAAGACAGCCTCTAGCTTTGTAGGCTGGGCTGGCCTGAATTCAGGATCCTTTAGCTTCAGCTTCCCATGTGCTTGAGATAAAAAGCCTGTGCCTTTACTAGTTGATTTTCTAAAATTTCGTTGAAAAACAAGATGTCTCAATGTGCATGTCACTTTTCACTACATTAACCCTAAGTGAAAAGCAAAACAATCATTACTGTTTATGGCCAAATGTATTTTAACAAACCAAAACCCAAAAAACTAAGATCAGAGCTGGAAAGATGGCTCAGACAGTAAAAAGCACTTGCCACCAAGCCTGATAATTTGAGCTCATCCCTGGAACCCAAATTGTGGAACAGAACCAACTTCAAACTGTCGTCCAACGCCCAGGCACAATGTACACACCCACACCAATATTAAGTCTTAAAAAACTGAACGCAAAGGATTGAGTAGGGGAGCCCAGCAAAAGACTGGGGAACGGGGGGAGGGTACCTGGGAAGCACTAGACTCAGTTCAAGAGCACAAGTGGGTAGCAAAACCTACAAAAGCTGCCTGTGACATTTTCAGTACTGCATAGAGATGGACCAATTCTGTCCTAAGAGCTAAAGAACCAGACATTCCCTCACAAAAACCAAAACTTCCAAGAGCCCAGCATGCCTATAAAGAACCCACTTGCTCAAACTAGTCCTATGTCCTCAGTGTTACAGCGCTTATCATGCACCTTTAGGACCCGCGTTCTCGGCCTCAGGATGGCAGCACAGGAGGCTTACTTGGGATAAGTAACTGCAAACCATACCAACCATCCGGTAAAGATTATCGACCACACCTGGAGAGAGTGGTTCCTCTGGTTTACCACTAACCCCACCCAGCCAAGGTATTCGCACGAAGTTGGGAATGCTACTTAGCTACGCAGGAAAGTGCAGTCATCTGGACAGCCTGTCACTGTTGGACTTGGGAAGAAACCCTCACCTGCTTAGGCAGGAATAAGCAGCATGCCTATGTACATACAAAGCAAGTGAAATGAGTGCCAAGCCCTTTGATGAGTTTTGTAGGTGGCTCTGAAAAGAGCCGTTGGGTTACTGGAAAAAAGCCTCCAACCGAACTGTTCACTTTTTCTTGGGCGCCGCCTTCTTGGGTTTAGCCGCGGTCTTCGGTTTTGTCACCTTCGCCTTGGCAGACTTGGGCTTCACCGCCTTCGCCTTGGCGGGGCTCTTGCTCACCTTCTTGGGCTTCACTATCTTCGGCTTCTTTGGGCTTTTGGAGGGCTTCTTCGAGACGGCAGGCTTCTTGGGCTTTTTCGGGGTCTTCACAGTTTTCTTGGCTGCAGCCCCAGCAGACTTCTTCGGCTTCTTAGACGCCACCGATGCCTTCGCCTTCACGGACACCTTAGTGGTGCTAGACTTAGCTTCTGCCTTCTTGTTGAGCTTGAAGGAGCCGGAGGCGCCGGTGCCCTTGGTCTGCACCAGGGTGCCCTTGCTCACCAGGCTCTTGAGCCCCAGCTTGATGCGGCTGTTGTTCTTCTCCACATCGTAGCCGGCGGCCGCCAGCGCCTTCTTGAGCGCGGCCAGGGACACGCCGCTGCGCTCCTTAGAGGAGGAGACAGCTTGTATGATGAGCTCGGAAACGGAGGGTCCAGCGGGCTTCTTACGAGGTGCCGCAGCCTTAGCCGGCTTCTTAGTCTTCTTTGCAGCCGCAGGTTTCTCCGTGGCCGCGGAAGCAGGCTGAGCGACTGGAGGAGTCTCCGACATGGTTGCTGCAGAAGACAGGATTACCAATACCAAAAGGAAGAAAAGGAGTAGAAAGACAAGGCCTCCGCGCGGCGTATTTATAGAGCAGGGGCACGCTGTGATTGGTGCACGATAGATCCCGCCCCTTGAACCCTGGTAAGCCCCGCCCCCTTGCCCCCTACTTGCTCTCAAGATCTTTGCTCCTAACTATAGTATGACCTATAATCATACTGCGTTTCTTGCCCAGAGATGCTCCCAAACTTCTCTGGCTGGGTGCTTGAGGTGGGAATTTCAAGCACAGCAGGGACACCACAAGGCGGTAGATATCTATTAGTATGTAACTCAAATAATGAAGCGTGTCTGTAAATTACCTAATCAAAACCCAAGAAGTTTGACTTGGGTCAAACTCAAGGAATGCTTTCATGGTTAGAAGACCAGAACACCAGCCTGTAGATCTTGTTTACCAGCTTCTGTACTGAAGAGCTGTGTAACATTACATTTTAGTGAGTTCACATTTCGAGCCAATAGTGTTAATCAATTCTGACAAAGTACCCATTATTGCTCAGGAAAGGAAAGCTATGACATGACTTCTCATCCCGACAAGTTCGAAATAGCTATGGAGAAAAACCCGTCTAGTTTCTTTTAAAAGAAAATACAAAATAATGTAATAATAATCTATTATGACCGGTTCTATTATTGTCCTATCAAAAAAAGTTGGAAGTGTAATTGAGTGATTTATGGCCAACAATGCTTGAAAATATTTAGGTTTGAGTGCAATAACCCAAAGCGTCTAAACAAATTCAGCTAATGGAGAAACATGCAAAATGACCCGAGTCAGATTTCTGCTATCTTAATACTAAGTTTCCCTTGTTTAATGCATAGCTAGCTGAAGACTAAAGGGAGTCTCTGCATGCAAATAAGGAATTCAAGATCTGCTTTTTTTAGTGGCTACTAAGAAAAGCACAGTAAACCAATCAAAAGGTAGAATCTGGCCTTCCATCACACAACGCAGAATTTCATTAAGCATTTCAATAATTAAGACATCAAGTTTGCTTTCGATTCTTTATGGCAGCAAGGACAAGTTTCTGTGCGTTGGCAGGTAGAATGCTGGAGAAGTTGACAGTCACCATAATTTTATTTCATTTTAAAATACACACACACACACACAATAAAAGGGAAGATGCGGACTAACAGGGAAAATGTAATTGTAGGTCTTCAATGTAAACCAATCAGAGTCTTAAACGTCACAGGTGAACAGTGTTTTCATCCAATCATTATTTTTTGTACACTATAAATAGTAGCTGTGGGTGCAGCAGAAGTAGTGTCCCAGGTTTTCAGTCTTGTGCAGTATTAGCAGTCCACTATGGCTCGTACCAAGCAGACCGCTCGCAAGTCTACTGGAGGAAAGGCCCCGCGCAAACAGCTGGCCACCAAGGCTGCTCGCAAGAGCGCCCCGGCCACCGGCGGCGTGAAGAAGCCCCACCGCTACCGGCCCGGCACCGTGGCCCTGCGCGAGATCCGTCGCTACCAGAAGTCCACCGAGCTGTTGATCCGCAAGCTGCCGTTCCAGCGTCTAGTGCGTGAGATCGCGCAGGACTTCAAAACAGACCTCCGCTTCCAGAGTTCAGCTGTCATGGCCCTGCAGGAGGCTTGTGAGGCCTACCTGGTGGGTCTGTTTGAGGACACCAACCTGTGCGCCATCCATGCCAAGCGAGTCACCATCATGCCTAAGGACATCCAGCTGGCCCGCCGCATTCGCGGAGAGAGGGCGTAATTAGTTTGGTTTTAAAGCATTAGCAACCAAAGGCTCTTTTCAGAGCCACCCACAATTTCAAGTAAAAAGGCTGTGAAATAGCTCTTCTAAGGCGAACTATTTCCTTACGAGAAGCCAGGTTTTATGTATAAAATTGCAAACCTCCGTTCCCCTATTCGGAGTCGACTCATTCCCAGGATACCTAAGTGCAAAAATGTGAGCAACTAGCAAACAAGATGCCAATTGGCGCTTTGTTCTACCAGGTTTTATTCTGACACAAAGTTCCCCTGAGTGTGTTTTATGTACGCTTTACATTCATATTCTGAAGGCAGACAAGACTTGGGAAAACGTTCCAGGGTGGCGGCTGTGACGTTACCTTCCCGCCGGCGGGCTTTCGATTCTCGGGAAGGTTGAGGGTGGGGTTTGTGACATCTCTTTCCCGCCGGCGGGCTTTCGACTCTGGGAAGGGTGAGGGCGGGGTTGTGACGTCACTTTCCCGCCGGCGGGCTTTCGACTCTGTGGGGAAGTCTGAGGGCGGGGTTTGTGACGTAGGCCACTTTCCCGCCGGCGGGCTTTCGACTCTGGGGAAGGCTGAGGGCGGGGTTGTGACGTCACTTTCCCGCCGGCGGGCTTTCTACTCTGGGGAAGGCTGAGGGCGGGGTTTGTGACGTCACTTTCCCGCCGGCGGGCTTTCAGTTCTCGCGTTCTGTGGGGTTGGGAATCCAAGGCGAATCGCCTATATAAGGACCCGCTCTCCCCTGTCTCTCATTTCGCTTTCAGTTTTGTCAACTTTGCTGTCTATCATGTCTGGACGCGGCAAGGGAGGCAAAGGTCTTGGTAAAGGAGGCGCCAAGCGCCACCGCAAGGTCCTCCGCGACAACATCCAGGGCATCACCAAGCCCGCCATCCGCCGCCTGGCTCGCCGTGGCGGAGTCAAGCGCATCTCCGGCCTCATCTACGAGGAGACCCGCGGGGTGCTGAAGGTGTTCCTGGAGAACGTGATCCGCGACGCGGTCACCTACACGGAGCACGCCAAGCGCAAGACCGTCACTGCCATGGACGTGGTCTACGCGCTCAAGCGCCAGGGCCGCACCCTCTATGGCTTCGGCGGTTAAAGACTTCTCACTCTTTTGTCTGTTATTACATAACCAAAGGCCCTTCTCAGGGCCGCCCATCTACTCATCAAAAGCGTTGTAATGCTGAGCCATGCAGTTTGCTTTGTATGCATCCCAGAAAACTAGGGTTAAGTGCTGTAATTTTAAACTTGTCTCTTTGGGGTAAGAATACACTTAATAGCGGTTTCGATAGCTACATATCCAAGGTATTAAAAGCGTCTTGCAGAACAAGCAGTGCTTTGTCAAATGAGGGCAGCTAAGCAGCTTTTTACTTTGTTCCTTGAGGGGAAGCCAGAGAGTGGAGGGATGGGGAAGGGACTACACAGTCGGAGGAATATACGTAGTGCTGTGTAAGAATAGTAATTCACGTTTCATGGTTCCCACTTACTATGTGGCAGGTGTTTCTTTGAATGGCTTGCTGTATGTAGGGTTTTTTTGTGTAGGCAGTTTGGGAAGTATCTGCTACAATTTCGGGTTCAAGCCCTGTTTCAGAACCCAATTAAAGGAATGTGAACTCACTTGACTACTGTTCTCTCCTGGGCCAGCCTAGGCAATCTGATTCTTCAGCTCTCAAGTGCTAGGATTACTGTTTACCACCACCACACCAGCTTGGCAGCACCTTTGGTTTTTGTTTCTTTCGTGTTTGTTTTGTTTTTCTTTTGGTGGTTTTTATTTTAGGCATTACTTTTATGAGGGAGGGACATGTTCGAACCTCAGCCTGTCACTGTTAGCTATATCTGAATGTCTCTTCCTGATGTGGTATTCCTGTTTTCCAACCGTGGATTTCTTGGTGTGGGAAGTGGGGGGGGGGGGTGATGAAGTACTCGGTATAGCTTCATTTTAAACTAACGAAGAGAATTCATAGGTACATTCTGGAAGGTTTCAGGAATAGACCAGACAGGAACAAAAGTGTGTCTTGAGGGTGGTTGATCATTTTATTTCTTCTTACCAGAATTCATTCAGAAGCTATTTGGTATTATATGTGTTCCTCGAAACCAGCAGAGAGCACTTTGAATTCACATGAGCAGTAAGTGTAGAGTCTGTAGCTGCAATTCTCTAATTTGAGAGATCAGTAGCCAGGATGGCCTTTAAGGTAGACCTGATCTTTTTTCACAGTATTCCTAGTAGGCATATATTCTACTTGGTTGTATCTACCTCTGCTGTAGCTAGAAACCTCTCACTTTTCCTCAATCATAATGTCCTAGATTTGCAAGTCTGCATTAACTCTCAATATAGACAGGGAACTCATGCTTACTGAGGAATCAGTGTGGCAGTACTAAGTGGAGTCCTGGGGACTTTGTACAAGGGCTCATAATGCATCCACTTCAAAGATAGACATGAAGATCCCAAAATTATCAGGACAGTGGTGGTGCACGGTTTTAATCCCAGCACTCCGGAGGCAGAGGCAGGAGGATATCTGTGAGTTTGAGGCCAGCCTGGTCTACATGTTCCTGGACAGCCTCCAAACCCACAGAGAAATCCTGTTCCCCCTTCCCCCCCAAAAAGTGACATGGTTTGCTGCCAAGTTCCAACTCCTGGACCTCTACATGGTAGACCCAATTCTTGTAAATTATCCTCTAACATCCACAGTATTCTTTGGTATGTACACACCAGCAGACACATACTCACAGGTACACACGCACACATGATTATAAAATACAATATTTTAAATATAACTTTTAAAAGACAAAAGAAAACTGGAGAGATGGATCAGTGGTTAAGAGTACTGGATGCTCTTCCAGGGAACCTATATTCAATTCCCAACACCCACATGGTGTCTTACAATTCCCTGTAATTGAAGTCCCAGAAGAGCCAATTCCTTCTGGTCTCTGTGCACCAGGCATAAAAGCAGTGCACAAGCATACATGAAGGCAAAACATCCATACAATAAAAACATTAAAATAAAAGACAAAAGAAAAAATAAATAACAATTATAGATAACCTATGAGATACCACGGTCATTCTAAATGCTACAGACATAAAGACACAAGTCATTATATGCTAGTGAAGGGGGACATACCTACATACACATATTGAAAAATATTGTTATAGATAACACATTTTATGAGTGGTCAATTAGGGATTTTATTTACAAAGTGACAAATAGAGGTCTCTTTCATAAGGTAGGTATTTGAATTAAGGACTATTGTGAA